ATTATAGATGGTATAATTCATCCTTTACCGTAGACCACGTAATATTTTTTTCGCTGAAGTGATTCCCTTCAGAGTTGTCATGGATCCTTTGAGTTTACTTTAGAAATCACTAATCAAAACAAACATACTAAAACATCAGAGACCTACAAAAAGTGATTGATTTATAAAAGTTCATTAAATTTTGAAATAACCGGCTGGTTTTTTAGGGCATACAAGTATGTTTTTGTGCACTATAATTTACATAATTATAGTGCACAAAGTCTGTTTAGAAAATAATAATTGGTAATCGCATTGATAAGTTTTTCGTGAAAGTGAAAATTTTAGTTATGAAAGAAATAGTTAAATTTTTTTATCTAAATAGCTAGGTATCAATTCTTATTGATCAAGTCGATGATTCACATTCAACGGGAAGTTCATGTAGCCTGCCTTAATTTCACCTGCTGGTGAATGTTTTTCCCCCGCCCTGAAAAACTGCTTATCAACTAATAGACACCTTAAAATAATATAAAACTATTGGGGCGCATGGCATCGTGCCTTAAGGCAAATTGCTGGAACTTCCCGTACCAAAAATTATTATTTCTTTAAAAACGATTAACATTTTTGAAAAAAAATTACTTGGCAAAAATTAGATTTTTGAGAAACTATAAATTTGATAAAAAATTACTTTTCAAAAAAAAAAAAACATATTTTTTTTATTTTGACATATTTTGGAAATTTTGAACTTTTTTTCAAAGCAATTGTACTGCTTTAATTGCATAGATATGAAATATCGAAGCGCATAAGCGCCGCGTCGCCGTCTAACGGATAAACACTGGTACCAAATCTATGGGAATGTAAACAAAATTTATAATTATTGTGAAAATCTCTATAAAATATCTGATAATTTCATGTGCATATGTCTAATAATCATTTTTGACCGCCAAATGGCCCTTTTTTACTTTTTTCGTTAGATCTCCGAAACTGCTAGACCTGCCCTCATGAAAATTAAATCAGTTCTTCATCTTGTCAATACAAAAAAATGAATTATTAAAATCGGACGCTCCGTTCTCTTAAAAACTGAGTTATCATTTTTGGCACTTTTTACGCCGTATCTTCGGAACGGCTAAACCTGCCTTCGCGAAAAACTAACCAGCACGTCTCCTTGTCAATACGAATCGAATGTTTTTTGAATTATTCAAATCGGTTGATTGGTGTTCCCGAAATCGTCGACGAAGATTTGTATCCGCACACACATACACACACGCACACACACACATACACACACATACATCCATTTTTTCTAAGGTATGCCAAAATATTCAGAAACCTTTTAAACGTAAAGATATATAAAAAATTTCATTTTCGAATTTTTTGCGATTACTATAACTTGCCCTGAGGGAAGTTAATAATATAATCAAATTTCACAATATTTTCAAGCAATAATTTAAGATGATGGCGGTCATTTCGTTTGGTCACTTAGGTTATCAATTCTACGTGTGTTTGTTTGTGCGTATTGCACATGAAGGGGAATGTTCTCGCCACCTGCCACTTTTTTGGGTAATCGAGTTTCAACTAACAGACATCTTTACCCGAAATATTTTAATCACAATTCTTATAATCCTTAAGTGATAATTTACGACGATGGCGATCATTTCAAGTGGCCGCTGGAGCTATTTATTATGTGCGCGTGTGTGTGTGTATTGCACATAATGCAAGATGGCGAAATTTGTACAATAACAGTGCGCATTTCCTTTTTTCCTCGTAATGACCTGATAATAATACAATATTAATAAGCGAAAACAATTTAATTGCACATGTGGTGCAATCGACACGAAACGCAGTCGATGCGCATGCAATGCAACAGACACGACCAGGAAACAATATTGCACACGAGAAATAGAAATAAGAAAATAGAAACACAAACACTTAAATACACATAGAACATATATATTATTATTGTTGTCGCTCTGTTCGAAGACAAGAACATGATATACTAGCAACAGTTTTTTAATTCCTTTCCACGCATTTGTCTCTGTTCTTGCCTTTCCTTCAAAATCGTTCATCATCTACATTATTCTTTCTCGTTCCAGTACATATAGTAGCTCAAAGTTTTACATCACTTTTTATCTTCCCGAAGGAGAAGTTTATGTTTTCATCAAAAAATCCGACTCTTTAATTTTATGTTTTCTCGACGTTTCAAGCCATTCTGAATTGAATGAGACCAAATTTGGAAAAAGTATGTGTGTGTGTGTGTGAACAGATTTTTTGCCGTAAATCGACGTTTTCTCGAAAACGCATGGGCCAATTTCCTGAGTTTTGTGCGGCTTTCGGCCGAGCCGTTTCTTGGTAAATTGCAGAAAAGTGAAAAATTTTTCGTCCACGTTTTAGCCCGCAATTTTAAATCGATTCCGAAAATTCAAAAACCATTCGATAGATATTGGTTGGGAATCGTACTGATTAGTTTTTCGTAAAGATCGGCCGGGCCGTTTTCTTGTAATAAAGTTTAAAAAAATAATTCGACGATTTTTATGATTTTTTTCTGACGGTAGATACCATAGTCTTGTAGATCATACTAGAATATTACGGCCCTACGACAAGCCGTTTAATTTTAAAAATTCTTCAAAGTTTGCAAAAATTTGTATAGTTTTATTGGCATTTATCAAAATTAGACCTTTGATCGACGTTTTCTCAAAAACGCCTGAACCGATTTCAGAAATTTAAAAGCCATTTGATGTATCTCAATGAGGACTATCGTTTGTCAGTTTTGTGAGACGGTCTGCCGAGCCGTTTCTTTGTAATTTGAAAAAAAGTGTTGAACTTTTCGTCCAAATTTAACCTCAAACTACCGAACCGATTTTAAAAAATCAAAAACTGTTCAAAAGATATTAGTTGGGAATGATACTGATTAGTTTTAGGTAAAAATCTACCTAGCCGTTTTCTTGTAATTAACTGTTGAAAAAAAAATTGAAGCCGATTTTTATGAAACTTTTTTTGGCGATATATATCATGGTCTTATAGAACATACTGAAATATTGCGGCCTTACGACAAGTAGTTTAATATTAAAAATTCATCAAAGTTTGAGAAAATGAGTAATTTTTTTGACGTTTGTTAAAATTAAAATTAGACAATTTACTTGGTATAACGATAGAGTACTTGGTCTTAATGAACATACTAAACCATTAATGTCCCATGAAAACTGGTTCAACTATAAAAATTATTGATTTTTGAAAATTTGCTTTTAGAAAATACTCCAAGTTAACGAGTTTGTTCGTTTTCAATTATCCGTTATAAATTTACTCGGAATACTTCTAATCACTCATAAATTAATTGTTTTTTATTGAATGAGTCGATTATTTACACATATCGGGAAGTTCATGTAACTTGCCTCAAGGCAAAATACCAATACCAACTAGTTCCAATTTGCATCAATCCCAGTTTTCTTCAGACGTTGGAGTCCTTTACCTTCTCAATCTTGCGTAATGCTTTTTCATTTGGTACATTGTTGACTCTGTACATTTCTCTCCGGCAAGTGTAGTTTTTGTTGGCTTTCCGTAGAGGATATGTTCATGATCCCTAGAATGCAATACGCCAAATAGACAAGCATTTTTCTAATTGCTCAACCAAGTTTATCAAACCTAGATTCAGAACTAAACTTTTGTTATTTGATTTATAGTGGAGTTTTTCCGCTGCTAAAATTTTATTTATATTTATCGAGTTTAAAATTTAATTTTGCTCGTCTGTAAAGTATTCTTTCCCTTTTCTTGTTGATCAGCAGACATTAAGTTTTCATGTGAGTAATGCTCTTTCCTTTTACTTTTACTCTCCGCACTACTGTATCTATCTATCTTCTTTATTCGAAAACGTATTTGTCCATTTTATATTCTCCAGCCCCATATCTAGAATGTCAAAGTAGTTTTTGTCAGCCTTTCCATATTCCATATCTTTGATCTGTCCGGAGCTATTCTCAAAATATAACTATTTTTATATAGAATAGAAGGTTTTCAAACATTTGTCCAATTATTAAATAAAAAGCCAAACTGAAGTGATTTAAATAAACGCGTAACATACGTTTCGAGTCCTCATCAATTTCAACATCAATAGGAATTGAATATAAAATTTATTGTCTTCAAAAAAAATAATAATAATAAAAACGGAAAATCCTAAATTCTCTAAAAAATCACAAATCTAAATACCAAAAAATTAGTGGTGTATGGCATCGAGCCTTGAAGCAAATTGCTGAAACTTCCCGTACCGTAACGAAACGTAGGAGAAATGGGAATGTTCGACATTAAATGTTTTCAAATAGATTATTATAAATAAATACTGTAACATTGTCAAATATTTATAACAATTATATAAATTGAATTGCAAAGTTAAAATCATATATTTACAGTTTATGAGTGAGCTTTAAAACTTTAGCAAGAATTAAAATAAAAATCTGAATTATTTTCGATATACAAAAAATTTTTTTTGAAAATAAATTCGAAAGCAATTGTTTTGTCAACACGAGCAGAAAGTTCTTTGAATCATTCAAACCGGATTCATAGTTCTTTCAAAAACTGCCAGTTTTGCACATTTTGCTCGGTATCTCCGAAATGACTGGGCTTGCCTTCGCTAAAAACTAATCAGCACGTCTCCTTATCAATACGAATCGAATGTTTTTTGAATTATTCAAATCGGTTGAACCGTGTTCCCGAAATCGTCAACGAAAATTTGTATCCGCACACACATACATACACGCACACACGCACACATACACACACACATACATCCATTTTTTCTAAGGTATGCCAAAATATTCAGAAACCTCTGAAACGTAAAGATATATAAAAATTTTCATTTTCGATTTTTTTGCGATTACTATAACTTGCCCTACGGGAAGTTAAAAACGGAAAATTAGAATGATGAAATGAAAATTTTCACAAACTAAACAGATTGTTATTTTATATCAAAACCAATTCCAGTAAACAAATATTATAAACACTTAAATTATTACTTATTTCTCTAAATGACAATTTAGAACTTCCAAACTACTCCGATCATCAAATAATTAAAGTTTTTATTTCTAGAGAACAATACTTACTAAACGTATTCGAGGTCGTAGTGTCCACCCTTGAAGGCAAATTACAGAGGATAGAAAATCTGGACAAGGCAGTCGAGCACCTCATGCGCAGGGTGGAACTTCTGGACTCAAGGGTGTCAGATAATTTAGGTAATTTTTCAAAATACCACTCCTACCTGGTTATCATTTTATTATCTTATTGAGAAGTAAAAATAGTTATTTGTAAAAGAAATTATAGTAGATTGATCATTCAACTTTTTCGAGTTGTGCACAACCTCTAGAAAGTGTTTTGGAATTTTTAGGAATTATATTTTATTATTTTAGAAAAAACCGACTCCGTGATTACAAAACTGAGGTCTTTGGACACGAGGCTGTTCCAACAATTGCCGCAGAGAGGTTCCAAACGGCATTCTAGCGTTAGAGACAAAAAAAATGTGGAAAATGGAGAAAATGTGGAAATTTCTGATGCAAATGAAGAAGGCATGGATAGTTCTGGTAGTAACATCAACTTGGATGATAAATTAGTTAATCTAGATAGAAAGGTGAGACAAGTATAATTTCAGATAAAAATTATAAATTCTTAGCACACAAGTTTGACAGATGAAGCATATCTAACTCATCCAAAACAATTTTATTCAGAAAATTATTCAAAATCATCCGTACTTATCCAAAATTATTCAAAATCATCAAAAATGATCCAAAATGATACAAAAAGATAAAAAATCATACAAAATGGTCCAAAATATTCCAAATCCAAAATTATTCAAAAAGATTCAAACTTATGAAAAACAATCTACATAATTGGTAACTCATCAAAATTATTCAAAACTAATGCCGATCCAAAATCCACAGCAATTCGATATCATCCAAGCCAATACATACTCACCCAAAACGATATCCGAAAAGATTTAAAATAATCCAAAATCAGCAAAAACTGCACAAAAACATCAAAAAAATACTAAACTAGTTGGTATTGGTATTTTGCCTTGAGGCAAGATACATGAACTTCCCGATATGTGTAAATAATCGCTTTAATCAATAACAATAAATTAATTTATGAGTAATTAAAAGTATTCCAAGTGGATTCATTACACATAATTGAAAACAAACGAACACTCTATCGTTATACCAAGTAAATCGTCATTAGTAATTTTAGTTTTAACAAACGTCAAAAGAACTACTCATTTTCTCAAACTTTAATGAATTTTCAAAATTAAACTACATGTCGTAAAGCCGTAATATTTCAGTAAATTCTATAAGACCAAGATATATATCGCCAAAAAAAGTTTCATAAAAATCGGCTTAATTTTTTTTAACAGTTAATTACAAGGAAACGGCTCGATAGATTTTCAACTAAAACTAATCATTATCATTCCCAAATGATATCTTTCGAACAGTTTTTAATTTTTGAAAATCGATTCGGTAGTATGAGCCTAAATGAGGACGAAAAGTTTAACATTTTCTTCCAAATGACAAAGAAATGGCTCGGCCGATCGCTGTACAAAACTGAGAAAAAATAATCCACATCAAAATACATCGATTGGCTTTTAAATTTTTGAAATCGGTTCAGGCGTTTTTGAGCAAACGTCGATGAAAATTATAATTTTGACAAACGCCAAAAAAAACGACACTAATTTTTGCAAACTTTGACGATTTTTAAAAATTAAACGACTTGTCGTAGGATCGTAATATTCTAGTATGATCTATAAGACTATGGTATCTACCGTCAAATTCATGTAAATCGTCGAAAAAAACTTTTTTAACACCTTATTACAAGAAAACGGCCACGCCGATCTTTACCAAAAACTAATCAGGTCCTTCCCAACCAATATATTTCGAACAGTTTTTGAATTTTCAAAATCGCTTCAGAATTGCGGGATAAAACGTGGACAAAAAATTTTTCACTTTTCTGCGATTTACAAAGAAACGGCTCGGCCGATCGGCGCAACGCTAGTCCTCATCGAGATACATAGAATGGCTTTTAAATTTTTGAAATCGGTCCAGCCGTTTCTGAGAAAACGTCCATTTACGGCAAAAAATCTGTTCACACACCCGCACACACTTACACATACTTTTTCCAAATTTGGTCTCAGTCGATTCAGAATGGCTTGAAACATCGAGAAAACATAAAATTAGCAATTCGGATTTTTTGATGAAAACATAAATTTCTCCTTCGAGAAACCTTTTCAATGGTATAATCTAGGTTAAAAACATGATCCTTATAACTAGTAAATTTTTTAACAACAAATACTAATTATTTTTGAATCAGGTGAGTGACATCTCGACGCGTTTGGCAAGTCTAAAATCGCAACTTGACAGCAACTTACTACCTCTGGATGATATCAACGCAGAAGCCAGTGAGAAGAAGCCCGTCAGCATGAATGTCTTGGATGCAACCAGAGCTATGAACACAGAATTGATGAACCATGTTACAAAGGTAAAAATAATGATACTTAATCACGATTCAAAAAATAGAAATATAACTCTAATTCTAACTCGATTCTAAAAATAAATCTACTCACAAATATTTTTTATGAAAAATTACAGTATGTTTGAAAATGTGTTTCAACTGGTACTAACTTGAAAAATACCTTTCTAAAATTGTTAATATTAACGATAAAAATAGGTGAACAATTATTTTTGGCAAAGGATAATGCCAAATATTAGAATGTACTTCCAAGCTATAGATCATATCTTAGAATCCAAACGAATTTCTTGCCTTATTAGGTCGTTCATCAACAGGTACCTAAAATTAGACTTCTAGGAAGCATGACTGTACTGATAGGATAATTGATTCTAGCGTCGTTAGAAATAGATAGAATTCTACAGACGTCACGCTCAATATAAAATACTTAACAAGTATTTTTATAATTAATAAGATTTTTATCTTACAGGAGATTGGAGGACTAAGAGCAGCAGCGGACGGCGTGGACAGAAAACTACAATTCCATGTCAACTTGGTCTCAGAGAACTTGGCCAAAGTTTTACATCTGGTAAATAAATATAAGCTACTCTCCTATATTACTATTTTCTTGGGATAAGATAATTTCAAAATAAATTTAAAATATTTTTGTACATATATATTAGGTACGCAACTAAGTTCTCGCTGGTTTTCGATGAAAATGTAACTTTATTATAAAAAAAACTATTACATCTGATTCATTCAAACTATTTCCCATCGCTAGGCACATCTTTTGCCCATCTTTCTGGCAGAGCTCGAATACCTTGACGCCAGAAGTGGTATTCTTTTGAGGCTATGTCATTTTCTGATGTCTTCGTATAAGTTGAACTGCTGATCAGCCGGGTCATGTGCCATCGAACGAAACAAGTAAAAATCGGACTGTACAATATCTGGGGAATATAGCGGGTGGGGTAGGATTGCCATTTGAGCTCTCAAGTAGGTTTTAACAGACTTGAAAACGTGAAGCCGAGCGTTGCCATGTAGTAAAATCACTCTGCTCGTATTGTGGCCGTTTTTCGTGCAGTGCTCGGCTAAATTGCATCAATTGAGTTCGATACCGTTCTCCAGTGATGGTTTCGCTCGGTTTCAACAGCCCATAATGAATAACACTGACCTGGTCCCACAATGTGTAAAGTAAACCTTCGCAGTGAATATTCGGTAGAGCCGAGATTTTTTTCTCTTTGGATGGCTGTAATTTATTCATTTTTATCACCTGTCACTATGCGATGAAAAAACCCTTCCTTTCTCGCCACTGGTGCAGTTGGTCACAGGCGAAAAAACGACGCTCGACGTCTCATGGCTTCAACTCACAAGTTTCATGCTTCTGAATAATCCCCAACGCATGCAATCGCTTGAAAATGGCTTGACGGGTAACTCCTAATTCTAAAGCAAGCTCTTCTTGAGTTTGGCATGAATCCTCTTCGAGCAAGGCCTTCAATTTAGCGTCTTTGAAGATTTTGGACCCTCCTTCACGAGGGCTGACGTCAACATCAAAATCAACGTTTTTGAAGCGGCAAAACCCATCACGGCATGTTGTTTCGCTCAGAGTAGCATTTCCGTAGCTCTCGATGCTCTTGAGCTGTCGTTTTTTTTTCGAATGAAAGAAGAAAATCGACACTTCTCGCAAATGACGATTGTTTGGCATAACCTTAGACATTTTCACTTGATCAGAAGTATATATTGCGAAAACTAAATCACTTACGTGTCGCATCAGTTTGTTTGTCATATGTCTAAGCTTGGTTCATGACGTTTTGGAATTGTCAAAATCGACCAACCCTTACTGCTAAACCATATACTGACAAACAGCCAGAACTTAGTTGCGCACCTAATAGAAATTTAGCAAATATCCTACTGCTTACTGCCTTATATTACTACCCGATTAATATAAGATAATTTGCTATGAATTTGCAATCGAAAATGATCTAGTATACAGCATAATCTAAAAGTATTGAATATAGTAGAAGCAGGATCTAATTACGTAGTCTCATCTTACTGTAAGATAAAGGAGCATGCTTAAAAAAATACAGCATGATGTTACCTCAATGTACCCAATCGACTTCTTCTGATGTCGCTCTCTCAGCATATTTGTAAGCCGGGTAATAAGTTCAAAGTGAAAGCTTATGTGTAATGAAATATTTATGCCAAATTTAAATCACGGATAGGTTTTGGTAAAAATATAATATTTAAAATGTATTCTAGAATAAGCTAGCTTGCTACTCGCTTAAGGTAACAGATTTTGTTTTGATTTTAACTGACTAGTTCTAATGTAAGATAAAAATGCAAGTTTATCCAAGAATAGTTCTATGTATATAGTAATAATTTATTTTTATTATGTAATCCAGGTGACTGAAGTACACGAATCAGTGGTCACGGACAATCTACCAGTCTTTAACCGCAATGGGAACGCGAATGTTACGAATATAGGTGAGACACTATTATAAGATTGTTTATTCAATCTAACCATACTCACACAAACACACACACATATCTATCTATATATAAATATATATCATATTTTTCATTTTCACTTCCCCAATGTGTATATAATCGACTTAATCAATAAAAAATAAATTAATTTATGAGTGATTAAAAGTATTCCGAGTGCATTTATTACACATAATTGAAAACGAACGAACACGTTAACTCTCGGAGTATTTTCTTAAAGCAAATTTTCAAAAATCAACAATTTTTATAATTATACCAGTATCCGTAGGACTTTAATGGTTTTAGTATGTTTAATAGGACCAGGTACTTTATCATTATACTAAGTAAATCGTCTAATTTTAATTTTAACTAACTTCAAAAAAACTTATCTTTTTCTCAAATTTTGATGAATTTTTAAAATTAAACTAATTGTCGTAAGGCCGTAATATTTCAGTAAGTTCTATAAGACCATGATATATATCGCCAAAAAAAGTTCCATGAAAATCGGCTTAAATTTTTTTTTCAATAGTTAATTACAAGAAAACGGCTCGGTGGATTTTCACCTAAAACTAATCAGTATCATTCCCAACTAATATCTTTCGAACAGTTTTCGATTTTTTGAAATCGATTCTATAGTATAAACTTAAATATGGACGACAAGTTTAACACATTTTTTCAAATTACAAAGAAACTGCTTAGCCAATCGCTGCACAAAACTGAGAAAATCTAATCCACACCAAAATACATCGATTTGCTTTTAAATTTTTGAAATCTGTTCAGGCGTTTTTAAGCAATCGACGATGAAAGTTCTAACTGTGATAAACGCCAAAAAAAACTATTCTAATTTTTGCAAGGTTTGACGAATTTTTAAAATTAAACGACTTGTCGTAGAGCCGTAAGACTACGGTATCTACCATAAAAAAAATTCTTAAAAATCGTCGAAATTCTTTTTAACACTTTATTACAAGAAAACGGCCCGGTCGATCTCTACCAAAAATGCATCAGCACGCTTCCAAACCAATACCTTCGAACGATTTTGAATTTCCAAAATCGATTCAGAACTGCGGGGTAAAACGTGGACGAATTTTTTTTTACTTTTCTGCTATTTACAAGGAAACGGCTTGGCTGAACGTTGTGCAAATTGATAAAGGCTATTCCTCATCGCGGTACATCGAATGGCTTTTAAATTTTTGAAATCGGTCCAGCCGTTTTTGAGAAAACGTCGATTTACGGCAAAAAATCTGTTCACACTCACACATACTTTTTCCAAATCTGGTCTCATTCGATTCAGAGTGGCTTGAAACGTCGAGAAAACATGAAATTAGCGAATCGCAAATTCTTTTTTGAAAACATAAACTTCTCTTTCGGGAAGTTAATAAAGTATACTGTAAGCAGTTATAAGTCGAAGGGATGAATAAGTATATTAAATATGATGATATTATTCTTATTTTATATTTTTATTCGAAATGATCATTAGGTCTTCAACAAGTCTGTATCATAACTAAATGTTTTATAGGAAACTCCAAACAAGCAGCAACGTCCAGATCGGATGACCAAGTCACAATGGCAGACAGAATTGGACACAGGATGGACGAAGTTTTAGATTTGGTGGTGGATACTAAGACAACATTGGACAACCTGGTTCCGAGAACTGGAGAACTGTTGACTCAGACTTTGAGACAAGAAAGAGCTATTGGACAAGTTCATCAGGTGAAAGAAAAATAAAAAATAACCCTAAAGTAAATCAAAGTTTATAATGAGCTAGGCCCAAAGAAACTCTCGACATAGTTAATATTTAAACATAACTTTTCATAACTTTATTATCTTATATTTAGGATCTCCGTGCTAAAGCCAACCAGATCATATCCAATTTAGACATGGTGGAGAGGAGATTGAGGAAACAGGAACAACAACACGCAGCAAATTCTTTGCCTGTACCTGCAGAACTTTTATTGGATCCGACCATCGATCGACTGGTTGAATATGGACAGACAACTTTTGATGATCACGACTATACTATAGGTAACCAAAATTATAGCCAAAGAATTTCTTGAGTTTTCGGGGCATAGAACTAAGGGCAATATAACTAATTTATGACATCAATTAATTCAAGGTTAACAAAAATAAGTGATTTTTTTCTGTTTATCACTTTTAATAAATTTTGCGCAAAAAACTGTTCAAGAATTATAAAGAAAATTTAGGGTATGACATATGTTTTTCGGAACAGTTTATTTCCAATCCTGATAAATGCGATATCTAGTTATGTTTTTTTCAATTCTCAATCAATTAATTGAGAAGCAAATTATCACATTATTTGCTTCTTTTTCCAGCTGGAACAACAGAATCGCCACAATCCACAGTAACACTCCAAACTTCTTCCACCCAACACCATTCGACAAGTTCCAGTGCAAACCTCAACTCTGCCACATCCGGCAATACTGCTGCCAACTCTACATCTAACAATTCGAGCAGTGCTACTAGCAGTAAAGCAAACATACCGAGAAAAGGTGGAATTATTTTCCCTTCAGTGAAAAATAAGCCAACGTTAGTTAATTCGACTTTCGCTGCTGCAGCTAGTGCGGATTCCATCAACTATCGGGATGTTAAGGTAAAAGATATAAATTTAAATTTATATATTTATGCTAATGGCAGATGATAAAGTTTTTCTTTAACTTCAATATGTTTGTCACAAACAAGAATTTTTCTGCAACAAAACTATAAAACTATAAAAACTATAAAAACTATAAAAACTATATAAACTATAGTGAACTATAAAACTCAGTATGGTTGACAAATCATATTGTTCTCAAACACGATGCACTGAAAGAACTCATTTGTATAATTATATACTCATTGGTATTTATAAAACATTTCTAGATTTTTTTTTATTTTGTGATTTAAAATCAGAACCTAATTTGGTATCGATCAAAGAGACATTTTGTCGAATAACTTTCCCAGTTATGATTTCCCTGAATTTATCGAAAAATGGATAGTAATATATGAACGTCCGGTGTTAAAAGTTCCACCACCAAAGTGTCAAAAACCAGTAAAGCTAAGCATTGTTTAACAACATTATTTCAAAGTGAAGGGAAAAGATATAAACAAAGCTATTTTGAAAGACAGCAAAAAAAAAAGCATATTTTTACAATGATAAAGTAGCTGGTAGTCAGATAATTGTTTGTTTGAAATATGCCATTTGTTGTGATATAGTTGGTTTGATTTTCATAATATAATTTATATTTGCACAAAGACAAATTGGACCTGCTCTTCATATATACTTTTTATTAAATTTACTTTAATTTATTGAATGTTACTTGAAACTTTTCAAAAAGCAGTCCAAAGAAGAAATACTTAATTCAATTTCTATCTCTCCTCGCAGAAATTTGAAAATTTTGTATAAGCTCAGTAGTATTATTTACAATTATACACAAAATCCAGCATCCAAAAAGGATCTGAAAAACTTGAAACGTAATCAACAACTCGAAAGACCAAAAAAGACTGGGATTGGATTATACCATGTTTTCTATAGAAAGTGTATAAAACTTCCAGTTTGATTGTATTGACAAAATATAGACAAACTAATGGTTTTTTTTTGTTTTATAATACCTCATTGTATATAGCATTCAAACAACACATTCTTATACACTCAAAGTATTAATGTTTTTGATTCTCTAGAAATTGTTTAGAATATACCTTACTTAGCAAAACAACATTTGCCGGGTCAGCTGGTATATATATATATATATATATATATATATATATATATATTTATATATTATTTTCATATCTCAGTCAGACAGGGGTGTCTGGTATGAGAGATTATGATACAATTTTCATATTTTATATTTTGCATATCATTTGTCAATTTCATTATACAAAAATATAATATTTATTATAATTAAAATATCTTTGAATACCTATTCAATCTTCAATCTCTTTATTTTTCTTTTCAAATTATTGTCGTCACTGTATTCTTAATATCGGTTGGCAGTTCATTATATATTTACTTGCGCTCCATATCACATTTCCTCTTAATTGCTTCTTCTTTATTAATAATAATGTGAAATTTTCGTGTTGTCTAGTGTAGTGTTATATCTTGAATTGTGTCCATTGTTGTACTTGTTTTAATTCTGTTATATTTCATTTTGTGTATTAATTTGCATTTCTCTATTTTAATTATGTTGTTTAGTGAATGAATATTGGTGGGTATTAAATGTGGAAAATTATATGATATTATTATGGCTTTGTTTACTATTCTCTGTCTATCATTTAAGTTAGCTTTAGTTGTTTGACTTCATTATTATATAATGTTAATATCTGACTTTCTATATTACTTTGTTATTCAACAACTTCTTATTTCTTGAATATTTGACTCTCTAACTCATTTCAAATTGTCCAGTATGGTAATTTATAGTAATCACAAAAAATCAAAACTGAAAATGTTTATAAATCTTTGCGTTTCAAGGGTTTTTGAACATTTTGGCATACCTAAAAAAAATATGCATGTGCATGTAGTTTGTATATGCATATTCAGTTACAAAATTTCGACCACTATCCCGACAGCATAGATCAACCGATTTAAATGACTCAAAAGACATTCAATTCCTATAAATAAGCATACCGACAGCATAAATCAACCGATTTAAATGGCTCAAAAGACATTCAATTCCTATAAATGAGATGTGCTAATTTTGGCAAAAGAAGGACCAACCTTTTCGAAGATACGAGGCAAATGGTGCCAAAAATAGCAATTCATTTTTTGAGAGAACAAAGCGTGGAATTGAGTGATTGAAAATGCATTTTATTTGTATTGATAAAATTAATTGATTAAATTTATAATTTTGTTTTCAAAATTTTTAAAACTCTCAAGAACCTTTTTTTAGTTTTCCAAAAAAGTTTTTTTTAAAAAAATAATTTCGGTTATGGGAAGTTCCAAAAATTTGCCTTAAGGAACGATCCCATGCACCAATAGTTTTTTTTTTAATTCGAGTTTTTTAGCTGGAATTGTTTCCATTCTTGACTTTTTTTATTTTAAATTTGCTACAAATATGTGTACACGACAAGCTAGTCGCACAAAATAAATAATCGACTTAACCAATAAGAATTCATATTGATCCCTTTGAATCAAATTTCAACTAAAATCTAGTCATTGCTATTTCTAATTAATATCTTTCAAACAGACATATAATAGATGTAATTGTATTAATGATGATGCGCATAAAACCGTCTGTATGTCTTAAAAACGAGGCTTATTGAAGGAAACTTTAATTAATTCAACATTCAACCACTATTAAACTCTAATATATTAGAATATTCTCTATAGCCATATTAAGTTCCATTAAAAACATTTTGACATTTAATAACAAACCAACTGCTCGACCAATATTTGCCCAAAAGTAATAAGCCCGATTCCCAATAAATATCTTTCAAACAGTTTTTAAATTTTTAAAATTGGTCAAAAGTTTTTGGCACGACGTGACCGATAAATTTTGCACATTTGCGCTAATTGAAAAGAAACGGCTTTGTCTGATAATCGGGCAAAATTAACTAATGAGTATTTATATCGATTTTACTCGAAGGGCTTATTATAAATTCTTGAAATCGATAAGAAGGTCAAACTTTGTTAAATACACATGTTTTATCCAAATTTGGTGCAAAACTAATCAAATTGTCTTGAAACGTTGAGCAACCATAAATTTATCAAATTGGATTTTCTGGCAAAAATAAACAAAAGAAATTAAAATCGCTTGCTGCTTATTGGAAGCTATAAAACACTAGGAACTGCAAGAAGTGAGAATGAAGATACTTTCCATTGTCCTAATTTGTGAAAAAAAAACTATAATATATTAATAAGATTAGATTAGTAATTTTATAAAATCAGAATGTTTGCATAAAACACCACAAATAAGATATTATTTTTTCCAATACCTATCATTTGAAAAATTTATATTCATTAATACTACTTTCAGGGCTACTCCTGTGTGGATTTGCTCAATGCAGGCATGAAGGACTCAGGAGTGTACTACTTGCAGATCCGTGGAACCACTTACTGGTTCCTTAAAGTTTTCTGTGAACAGCAAATTTCTGACGGAGGATGGACGGTACGATAAAATAAAATATATTATAATATTCCAGCTGATATTGTAACTCCTGAAGATACAATTTTTAAATGGACTTATTTACAAAATCTTTTCTTACGATAATCAAGAAGTGACATAACTTAAATTTTCTCTTCCAATTGATCTTTTCCAATGCTCATTTTCAGGTTATCCAAAGACGTGACGATTTTGGTGGCAGCGGAGAGGGATCTCGGGAAAACTTCAACAGAGATTGGGCCGATTACAAAAATGGTTTTGGAGATCCAGCAAAGGAATTCTGGTTAGGAAACGAAAATATCTACATGCTCACCAATAACGAGGACTACGCTTTAAGAGTTGAGTTGGAAGATTTTGAAGGAAATAAGAGGTAAGGAGGAGAAAATAGAGAAAAAAATTATGGTTATGAATAGGAATATAAATGGTTTTTGGTGCTGAATTGACAAAGTGATTTTAGTTTAAAAGAATAAAATTGTATGCAAATATGTGTGTTCTAAAAAGATTCCAAAACACTTAATGCATATATCTTACCTTATCGCCATTTACCGTTTTATATTTGTCGCTCACTTTTCCCATCGAGATGACGGTTTGATCAAAACGTACAGCCATCTTACTTTTTCTTACATCGTAATATCCATGCAATATCTTTTGTTTCTCTCGCGTAACAAAATATACTTAAAGATGACTTGTCTTGTTATGATATTAATATTATTTGCAATAATTGTAGTTATACTTTATCGATTCGTTGTCAAAAAATATTTTGTCAAACCTCATACCGTATTTAACTCTAAGTTGTATTGCTAGTTTAGAAATTGTGCTCTACCCTAGTATCATCATTTAGATCTAATTTAGCTTAAATTCAATATCTAAATTTGATTCTTTACAGATATGCTCAATATTCTCACTTCAAGATCTATTCGGAAGCAGAGTATTACAAACTCGAAATTGATGGATACGAGGGCAACGCTGGTGATTCATTAAATGACCCCTGGTATGGATCCAATAATTCACCATTCTCCACCTACAACAGGGATAATGATAGGTCAAGTCTCAATTGTGCCAGTATGCTTAAAGGAGGTCAGTTGATATGAATTATGAAAAATATAAAATTATTGTGATTGCGCCTGTCACAATGTCACGATTTTTGGACCAAGTAATAATGTGATGATCAACATGACCAGAAATTACACACTGTAATTTAGTTTTACTTTTGTCGTTCAAAATATGGCATTTCAAGGAATGTCATAGTCAATTTTTGTTTTTAATCATTTTATTGCCATGGCAACCTCACCCACAAGATTACTCAAGCTATCGGTAACATTGATCCATTTATCTTATTTCCAGGTTGGTGGTGGAAAAGTTGTGGCCGCGGATTGAATGGTTTATATCTTCACGATCCTCAAGATTTAACAGCAAGACAAGGTAGATAACAATAAAAATTAGTTTGTGTACATGTGATGTGAAAGACATCATCTTAAAAGAAATAAACAATTCAAAATTTTAATTTTGGCTTCGATTAGAGATGCTAATTCGATTACCCAATTCTAAAGTTAATGCTAGAAACTCTTACTGAGAAGAGTACGATAGATGTGTATATACAGGGTGGCTGATATGTATTGCAACCAATTTCAGACCGCTATTATTTCTAAACCGCAGATTTATTTCAGTGATTGTTCATTTAATTGTTTACAAGCGTACAAAAGCATTTTGATCTATTGCATTCAGAAAAAAAGTTATTCGTGATGGAAGTCAAGCGTGATAGTGCGATTGCTTTGTACTTGGCTGGAAAACCTTAAGTGGCTATATTTAGAGCCCTCCAGTATTTAAATGCAAACAAATATTTTGTTTCTCGTACCATCTCTCGTAACCGTGATACACTCAGTGTTGCACCGCGTCCAAAAAGTGGACAAAAAACACTAACAACCCCAGAAATGATCCAAAAAGTATAGGCAAAAATCGATCGAAATTAGTGTCGCAGTGGTAAAAAAATGGCCCGTGAGCTGAACATATCACAAAAACGGATGCACCACATATTGAAAAATGAGCTTGGACTAAAGCCATTGAAGTTGCAAAAAGTGCAAGAGCTCATCGATGCACAAAAAAAAGTTAGACGGGAAGGAGCCAAGGGGTTGCTTCGCTTGCACGAAAGTGGTTTGTTACCGAATTTGGTTTTCTCAGATGGGAAGTCCTTCCAAATCGAGCAGTTTGTGAACAAGGTTTACTTGCCAAAAAGGTCAGCTAAAAATTTACACCTTCTATGGCCACCAGAACTCAAGCGCGCCGACGGTAATGGTGTGAACCATCGTAACGGCCGATGGTGACATTCCGCTCTTATTCATCGACCGTGGGATCAAAATAATTGCCGAAATTATCGGGAAAATATCTTAAAGGCAGTATTGAAGTCCTGGGTAGACAAAAATTTCGATCGCAGACCATGGACATTCCAACAGGACTCAGCACCATCAAA